GCGGTGCGGTGCGGTGCGGTGCGGTGCGGTGCGGTGCGGTGCGGTGCGGTGTGGTATCGCCAGCCCTCTCACCTTCTGACGACACAAGAAGGAGCAGTGCGGCGACGACTCTCCACAGGGCGCCGCTCATACTACAGTGAGGACGGGTCCTCCGCGAAGGCCAGCATCAACCGGCGCCTGGGTCTGAAACAGGTCAAACTGTCAACAGCCTTGCTCCTGGTGTCGTAGACAATGGGTGTGCGGCGAACTTCTTCATATGACACTACATGGTATGTAAATAGCCACGAATTTCACGAATGTCACGAATAATAGTCACGAATGTCGCGGACCCGAAAGGCAATAAAGCCGCCCAGTGAATAAGAAGCCAAGGCTTTGAGGTCCCCGCCAGTAGTCGCAGAGCCAGAGACTGTAGGATCCCCACCAGAAGCCACAGAACCAGACGCTTTGAGATTTCTGCCTGTGGCTGCAGAACCCGACAATTGGTGATTTGGGTATAATTTCGCTTTATTTACTTGCATGTGATGTCAGTAGCGGTGTGCCAAGATCCCATCAACTTTTATGACAAAGCGATGTTGTCTAGGTAAGCGTCTGCTAATTAGAAATTTGATCCGGTGTTTTAGAGATGAGTGTTTGAGATGTTAACGTTCTTGCACCATTGACTCGTTGCGCAGACCCTCACGTCATCATCCCAGTACAACAACTCCAGTTAAAATGACAATTTCTGTTTGAGCTACAATTTCTGCTTAGAAAAACTATGCAAGCTTTGAGGGTGTCATATGCAGAGCAATGACACGGCCATCCCGTCACAGTCCGGCCGTCGTGACAACCTGACTTGGCTTGCCAGAAAGAGCACTGTTGAGGAAGACGGGCCTTGCTTCAGGAACCAATGCGGTCTTTCGGAAACATTGGGATTGGAAGTTCCTAGTGCATCTTGCACACAAGCAGACTTTGCGACATGTTCAACATATCCATGTGTTTGCACTGCTTGAATGAATTGCTGAATTTACTTTATTATTGAACACCGAATTACCCTGTGTACATTGGAGGCCAACGGTAGCTCGAATTTAAGCCGGAAGGGACAATCCGACTGTGGACCAGGAATGGGGAGGGCCGCTGGGAAAGGTTCGGCAGCAGGGACGGCGACAGGGTAGGACAGCTGCGGGACAGAAAGCGTGTGGATCACGGGCGGTAGACGCAACACAATGAAACAAACGCCAAGGAAGGGAAACAGAAACATGAAGCTTTGAAATTGGGGACGACAGGCGGGGATTTGGAAACAATCCCCTTCTTGAATCGAGAATTCTCTCATGGGAAGCGATTTTTAGGATCCGGCGTGTGATTCGCATTTGTCGAACGGCGCGCAAGTGTTAAAGGGAATGTTAAAGGGAATGGAAAAATAACAGATCTCAGAATCTGACAATTCAAAGAGTGCTCAACATTTGCAAAGGGTTTGAACTGAACTAGAAACATAAAACATCACCCGGTATAGTTCACAGCCCTATCCTTCTCCAGTTAAACCGTCTAGTTTCTGAGCTATACGTGCGCTTAGATGTGCAGACTTTTCCGTACACACTATTTCAGGATCACCCTGACACCCATGACGCCATAATAAAGTTAAAATCCTGCCATTCCACCAGCTATACGACGATCAAGACCAAGAAAAATAAAGTGTTAAGTTGTTCATACCTGGTGTTCGTGAGCGCAATTTCCAGCTATCACGGCCGTCAACTGCCTCGCGATCAACGTTGTGCGTGGTACGATGGCGCAATCAAATAATGACGTGTTGCGCATTTTACTTAACACAAACATTGTGTCGTCTAGAGCAGTCTTTTCCACTGACAAGTTTACCAATCGTCAGAAGTGAGCTTATTCCATAAAATCTTATGCATGTTTCCATATCTCCGTACGTGGAACACTCTCTTTAACATGGGCCCGATAACTCTCCTCGAGGCCGGGTTCGCAGTTAATTAGGACCGCATCTGCTTGCGCAAACAGAGCAAATGACGGCACGCACACACGCACACAAACACGCACGCGTGCATGCACGCACGCATGCACGCACGCACGCACGCACGTACGCACGCACGCACGTACGCACGAGCCCACCCACCCATAACACTCGCGGCAAAGGAAGGGGTAGGAAGCACCTGGCACGTACTTGGCACATGAGTGATGAGCGATTTTTTTCCTCGAAGATGTTCTCTTGACGACTTTACTTCTGAACCCAAAATGGTGTGCCATATATTCAAAACAGATGCACAAATAACGGACATCGCAAAGACAACCACTAACGAACGAAGGTTGATTCAAACATCCGGGTATCAAAAGAAAATTGTATAAATGCGATTGTGTAGCTTGCTTTGCTCCGATCCCACAGATACCATCTGACTGAAAGCATCCCCAGCGTGGTTCATCAACAATGTAAGCGACACGAGGATATCTGGCTTGAATAAACTGGCAAGCGGTACTCAAAGGGCGTATGAGGCCATTACGAAAACTCGTTGGCGTGTCCCTGTTCCTGGACAAGTCAAATAAAATGCAAGACATGCCCTTACAGCTGATTTTGTCTGACATGAAATACGTCAGCCAATCAACAGGAGGTGATGTGAAAATATCGCGTACCGACTCAGCTGAGAAAACTACATCACACATTTCTAACCAAAACGAACGGCAATGTCATACCACATTCAGCACATGGTCGTTCAGTGTTCAACGATCCAGCGTTTATGGAGAGCGCTACGCACGTGTTAACACTAGGCAAAATATGACTGGTAGAAATTCTCAAGGAAAAGTGGCAGAGAAATCCTTTTTTCAACGAAAGAACCCAATTTCGCTTCTGAGAAAACAGCAAATTGGGGATTGCTCTAAGTGGATACCATGCTCTTTGTCCACACTTCTTTGGTCAACGCGTAAGGTATAGTTATGATATTTCAAAAGGGTTGCGACTGTTAGGAAAGAACGAAGGGCTCTGGGCCGTTTTTTGAGATCCCATCGTAAAACACCCAACGTCTGGCTCCAGTATTGCCGTCAAATAGTTCGCAGGCGGAGACATTAATACAGGACTTTCGACACGAGTGTGCCTGTGTGTGCGCACTTGTGTGTTTGGTACCAGTTGTGCACACCCCGGCATCCAGCCGGGGAAACAAAGCATTTGCCCGCGCACAATGGTACGAGATGACTCGTTTCAGTGTGCTATTGGCCTTCAGGGCGCTATGGTTTTATGTATGTCCAACAAACGGTGAAAAAAGACAAAGTGTGATAAAAGTCCTTACCTGGAGCCATTTCCGAACGGGACAAAATTAATTGGACAACCAGGATGATGACCAACTCCATCACCGAAGTACACAACCTGATCACCAACTGAAGAAGCAATCCGAAACGCCCAGTTTATCACCAGAAGGCTAAGCCATCACCATCGGTGTCAGTTAAAACTTGGTATGGTAAACCGGCCCAATATCAGGGCTGAAACCACCGATTACGGGGGAAGGGCACTGATGAGGGCGGGGTGAGGTCAAGGGCAGGGGCAAGGATATGGGCAAGGAAGCAATGGCCAAAATTAATTAAACTCAGGGGCCCTGAAGAGCTCCTGTTCGGTCCTCGAGTCCGTGACCGGCCAGACCTTTCTACTGTCTCATTGTTGACCACTCAATTGAAATTTCTTATATTTCCATTCCACGTCGGGCAACGAGGAACTCCACCAACGCAAGTGGCTCTCTGACTTTCAGGTTCCCGTCCTGTTCTTTTTCAGCAGAATGTGCCTCTGTATCACTAGCAGACCCTTGCGGACACAGGCTCCCCTGTAAATCACTCTGTGTGTTGATACAGGGAGCCACCTTGTTTCAGAGGCCCCGGTCAACGCAGGAGGACTTCAGTAACAACTGTGGACACTGCCATTGTCCCTGCTTCTTAATAGGACCCCAGAGTCCAAGATGACTCATAGCTAACTGCTCGGCATTGCTGATCTTGGACATACGTAAGGGCCTCTGTCGTTCGCGGAACCCCACAGGCGCGACGAGTCCCTTTGCCTGACCTTTGAGGGCCGGGCCTTTGCCCCGGGGTCGTCACCCGGCCAGCCCTTCGGACTCGGCCCTTAATAGTTTGTGCTGATGGTCCTGAAAATCATTCAGGGCCTAGCGGGAAGATATGTCCCTGGTGCCTTCCCCCCCCCCCCCCCCCCGCCAGCTGGCTACGGCCCTGGACATGTAAACGCATACGAAACTCATTGCTAGTCAGCAACTCGCTCTCACAACGCAACTAAAAGGTGAATGATGGCGTCTGCGTCCCAAAACATTTCTAAGTTGATGCCAGTTTGGTTTAAAATGTGGTCGTTTTGTTTGCTGGTGGGCTGGTTATCCTAGATGCTGGTAGACATCCTTGATTTCCTACCATATCTTGGCGATTTGTTTCACCCATTTCGTGGAACCTCAGCCAGCCTGGTGGAAACCCTTTTTCCAGACATTTCCATCGTGTATCTGGTGACTTGAGTAGGCATTAGGGTTAGCAGCTTCTTTAAGCTGGTAGTGAAAACGTCCATATTGATGACAATAATCTGATCGGTGGTGAGGTATTCATATTGGTTGTGATTCACTCAATCTGGTAGACCATTTTGGTTACGTTTAATTCATTCTTGGTGACCGGTTAAAAGGGAGCCTTTTCAAACCGGCAGCCGGCTGCGAATGAATCGCGGCGTACCAACGCGACCTCCCCACCCAGCTGGCTCCACGTGCCTCCAGCGCGACCCGCCGCAGGCATCACTCCAGCATTCACCACTGCACCTTGACCTTCTCGACGAACGTCGCACGGCGCATGCGCGCCCGGGTCGAGGATCACCGCGTGACGGCGCGGCACCGTTTGAACTGGCATGACCGCACGCCTGGCGGCCGGGAGTCGGGTCGCGCGCGGCCCGTTAGAAAACTGGCCCCGGCCGCCGCCGCCTCGGTGGGGCTCGGGCTATGCTGGCGTGTCGGCCGGCGCGTCACGTGTGGAGAAACCAACGTAAGGAAAGCGCGCCGCCGGCCCCCTCCAGACGGTGCTGTTACGTCACGGGACGGCCGCGGGCGTCGCCGCCGGGGCGGGGTGGGATGTCTGCCCGGGTGTCACTGGGAGCCAGGCGTCATGCGGCGGCCCGTCAGCCGTGCGTGCTCGGCAAACCCACGCACCGATACTGGCGCGGTACGCAGGAT